CAGTTATTAATTGGCTTTAAAAGTGTGAATTGCTTCTGAGAGTAGAGAGCCCACTGCTCTCCCAGGACCTGCCTGAACCCAGCTCAGGCAGCGCCTTCTCTAGGAGGGGTAGAAAGAACTGGATACAGCACACACCTTCCCCTTCCCGCTCTTCAAGGCTGAAGATGTCACCTGCTGTGCCAGGGTTCCCACAGCCTTCAATCTTGAGAAGAAGGATGGTCCAGGCTGGGCTGCTACAGCATCCCAGCGCCAGCGCCTCTGCACAGCACCTGGCTGCTGCAAAGCTTTGTGGTCCAGTCCCATTTAGACTGCAGAGTGAGATGCTCAGGAGGGAGTCACCGAGCACACCTGGTGCTCCACCAGCAAGGTCAGCACCATCGTCATTACCACCCTGCTAATGTCTCACCTGCAGCCCCGCATGCACCCTGAGACACCTGGCTGCCAAGCCAAGTGTTTCTGATTCATTTGTGCTTCTGATGGAGCTTCGGGCATCAACTGGTGGGAGAAAACCCGCCAGAAAGTCAATGACGTCATCTTGCCACGATTCCAGCAGCTCAGACCGCCCCAGTCATCAGCTCATCCGCGTCGTTCTCTCTCCAGAGTCGAGACCATGGTGTAGGTTAGGATTTGCTCCATAACAACTCGTCCCCAAAACAGAGCAGCTGAGAAGGATTTGTTAATTTTTACAAAGATGTGGGCTGACTTGGTGGCCCCTTGGCTGGCCTTGCCTAGGCCAGTTGGGTGGCTGTGTCCAGCTGCATGCCTGGCTGGACTCCTCATGTGGCTGGGATGCCAGGGAAGGTTTCCTGGGAGGAATGGTGCAGAATCAGAGCTCAGCGTTGTGCTGGGCTTGCCCTAGGGAGGGAACAGCGTTCCAGGTAGAGGGGTCCACAGAAGCCACAGCAGGAGGGCAGTGGGGGCCACCGATCTGCCAGCAGTGAGCGCATACCCCACTGTGAGGCTTGGCCGGCAGTGAGCGCATACCCCACTGTGAGGCTTGGCACCGAGAGCAAGGCAACTCCGTCAGCACCGCCCATGCCCACCGTCCTGTAGGAAAGGACTTAAGGACTGCAGGCTCAACTATGATTTCACCTAAACAGGGTGGGTACGTTGGAGCAGTCCAGAGACACCAGAGCACAGAGTGGAGGGAGCATTTGCCATTGGGTGGATCAGGGACCCCTCATGGGAGAGAAAAATGTTCTCAACAGAAGTCTGTGGAGCTTCTCTTGCCACGCCTCACTTGCCCAGTCTGCCCATGGCCAGAACACATTCTTCTCCTTTTGTTGATTGCAATATTTTCTCTAAAGTCCAGCCCTCTGGTGGTTTCCCTAAAGACGCAGCCTAAATGGGTGCCTGACCCTCATCTGGGCTCTAGGTCCTTCTAACCTCAGTGACCCAGGCAAGGTGGACCCAAGAAAATGACCTCCTGGGTTGATGTGTCTGGACGAGAGTGTTTGGCATGAAAGTGAATGCTTGGGGGGAAGGAGTGATGATTCCCTGCATCCCGCTGGCTGCCACCCGCTGCCACCTCTCCTGCCAGGACAGGTGGCGGTTTTGCTCATCCTGCTCCTTCTCTGCTGCCATCACTGGACTCTGAGCCCTGGCCCTACCCTGGGCTCCACAGTTCCCTCCTAGCCAGTCTTTCCGTCTGCAACGCCCCCTCCATCTGCCGCACAGCTGCGAAAATTGTCTCCTGGAGGAAGAAAATCTAATAGCGGCCTCCCTGCCTCTCGGCTTTAAAGTACTGGACTTTAAAGGACAATGACGTGCGTCACGGAGATCAGTGTGCTGATGGGAGTCGGCTTTTGCTTTCTGTGGGTGCTATTGCAGATTCCCACAAACGGTGCCTTAGAGCAAGGCAGATTGCTCACCACATGCTTCTAGAGGTGGAAAGTCTTATGGCTCAGATGGTCTCCCTGCTCTGGGTCTCCCCAGGTGGAGATAGAGGCCCGGCAGGCAGGCCGTGACGGAGAACCTCAAGCGGGAGAATTCACTTCCAGGCTCACTGGGGTGGCTGGCAGAGTGTAGCCAGCCACCCCAGTGGGTCTGACACCCCATTTCCTTGCTGGTCGCCCTCCGGGGCCATGCTCAGCACCTGCAGCTGCCCACAACCCCGGCCCATGGCCTCCTGCAGCCTCCTAGCCAGGAACAATGGGTCCAGTCCCGACCCTCCTGTCTCTGCACTCCCGTTCTGCCTCTGCTCTCCAGGTGATTGTCAGGGCTCCCGTGCTTCTACTGGGTCCATGGCAGCATCCAGGGGAATGTCCCTATCTTGTACTCCTAACCTTAACCCCATCTGCAAAGCCACATTTGCCAGGTAACACGACATTTTCACAGCTTCCAGGAATCAGGGCAAAGACATCTTTGGGGGACCCTTCTGTCTACCTTGTTGACAAAGTCATGGGAGCTCTTCCTTCCAGAAGGTGAATCGGGGTTTCCCTGGATTGGGGATTTCCTGAAGTTGGCTAAAATCTCTGATACAACCTCAAGTATCAGTCAGATAGGCAGCTGGCTGCCACCATGACGGATGGTCAGCATCCCAGAGAGCATCACAGGAAGCCTTGGCTTTGCCCATGGCATGTGTCCACAGGAACTCATTGGGGTAGGGTGGGGTGGGGGGGCCGCTTACCCCAGGCCGGTGAAGCCGTGGCGTTCCAAGCATGGCCAGCTTCTCCCAGAGGAGAGCAGAGTCCTGGAGGGCCTTGGGCCACAAAGCAAGTCTTCCATGTGGCAGCAACATCGGCCACCTGGCCCACCTTGTCTAAAGTGGCCCAGGCATTGCAGTCCCACCATGTGCCTGGAAGGCAGCAAGGCCTGGAGAGAGGCCACCCCACAGCCAGGAGCTTTGGGCCACCTGCAATGTGCCAGGCACCGGGCATGGTGCTTCACACAGAGTTGCCAATTTAGGAAAAACAATGGACTTTAGTGCCCAGGCTCAAGGTCAGTGCCCAGGCTCAAGGTCAGTGCTCAAATCCACCTGCCTTAAAACTCTGCTTTAACATTGTTAGGAGGTTTTCAATTAACACGGACAACTTTCAGGTCAAAACCAAAAGATAAACACATGCTCTGAGCATGTCGATGCCTTGGAGACTAAAGAAAACTCAACAGTCTTCACCTTTGCTTTCGGAAAGGCTGTGCTGTGTGCACTGCAGATCTGACTTACTGCAGCGTTCTCCACGAACAGGACAATAAGGACCCATCTGACTTACTGCAGAGTTCTTCGCGAACAAGACAATAAGGACCCATCTGACTTACTGCACATCTCACTCTGCAGTCTAAATGGGACTGGACTTGCAGCAGCCAGGTGCTGTGCAAAGGCACTGGTGCTGGGACGCTGTAGCACCCCAGCCTGGACCATCCTTATTCTCAAGGTTGAAGGCTGTGGGAACCCTTGCACAGCAGGCGACATCTTCAGCCTTGCAGAGAGGGACTTACTGCACAGAGTTCTCCACGAACAGGACAATAAGGACCCATCTCTTTCACTCCCCTTTTCCCTTAAAAAAAACAGTAACATTAAACAAATGTATCCAGCTCATCTCTCCCTCTCTCCCTCCTTTATCCCTCTCTCTCATTCCCCCTTCAAGGTTAGGTCACCTTCCACACAAGAATATCAGAACAAGCATCTGAGTGAACGGGAAATACAGATAACAAAAATTCACCCCAAGGAAGCAGCAGGCTTTAAAGGATGTCCTGTGCATGGTGGAGTCCATGATACGTCCTTTAAAATTACTTTTCCTTTTGCATTAATTATGATGACTTGATCCCAAGCATTTCAAAGAGATAAGTAAAAGCTAAAACTTTGTAAGGCGAAATTATCATTATTTTTAACAGTAAGATTTTCTCCTCTACCTCTCTCTTAATAAATCAGTAACTTGCAAAGTAAGGTTAACTATTGTGTCAATTTAGATGGCAATTAGCAGAATACATATACAAAAATTGATATAATTCTTATATATCATCAATGAAAAAGTTGTTCACAGTAACCATATCACATGAAGATATACTGAAATAAATGTTATAAAAAATATCTTTATCAAGCAAATATTTACAAAGGAAACAGATATAAAGTAAACAAGCATATCATAATCCTAGATAGTAAAGTCATTATGTATATTGCAAGGATGTCAATTCACCCAAAATTATTTAATAAATTGAATGAAATTCCAATAAGAAGTCAACATAATTTTGCAAACTTAACTAAGTTATATTAAACTGGATATGGAAGTACAAATGAGTAAGAAAAATAATGAAGGTATGTCCTTTGGCTTCATTTGAAAACAAGCTGTATCAGGCCATACCAACTCAGACTTGCGGCACTGACAGGTGATGAGATAGGAGTTCAATGGCAGAGACAGAGAAGCAGAAATAGAACTGAACTATGCATTATTCTTTAATGTAAGAATGTATTTTAAATCAGTGGAGAAAGACTGAATTATTCAATAAATTCTGCTGAAATAATTATTTAACTATACATTTGGGCACTTGTACTCAAACCATGCATAAATATACTCCAGATGAAGAAGAAAATCTTAAACAACTATAGAAAGAAAATGTCATATGTGTAGAGATCCGGTGTGGAGACAGATTTTGTAAACATGACATCAAAGATAAAACACTAAGGAAAAATTTGATGGACTTGACAACCTAAAATTTTTATACTTCTTAATATTAAAAAATGGAGGCAAATGACAAATTGGGGAAAAGATTTAAAATATATACAGTACTCAAAGGCTATTAAGTATCTCAATATGTAAAGAGCACTTATAAATCAATAAGAAAAAAGATCTCTATGGAAGAATCGTCTATGGATGCAAATAGTTCAGAAAGGCAGACCAATACACAGCCAGTTCCCACAAGAAAGCAGTGCAACCTCACTCACAGTCAAACAAACACAACCTGATACAAGCTACCATTGTTTTAATGGCCAAAACCAGAAAGACTTCAGAAATTCACAATACTCCAATTGTCAAGTGGAAATAAGCATCAAGAATCACACATACCTTGTCCATGAGTGTGTCCATTTGTGTAAAATTTCCAGAGTGCAGATTTCCAACGTGTCTCAGATGCCTCAGAAATGATTACCTCCTTTGGATCCACAATTCTGCTTTATCACTCTTCCCTCTGTGGAAATAATCAGAAATAGATATGAAGGATTTTACTAAGGATAAAAATTGTAATTTAAAAAAATTAACCTGGCAGAAAACATTCAACATTCATCAAGAGAATAGTTTAAAATAAATCAACTAAAAATTAATAACCATGCATATTTTTCAAGGACCATTGGATAATATTCAAAATCATTTTAGAGAAGTGCTTAATGATATGGAAAAATTCTCACAATGTAACGCTAAGTGAAAAATGCAGAATACAAGATTTTACATACATTATGATTTTTGTTTTTCCTTAAAACATGCACTTTCCTATAATCCACATGCATTTTTTTTCCAATTAGAATGATCATATTTAACATATTTTAAAAAAAAAAACTACGAGGAAGACTCTCCAATTGCATTTTGGGTTAGGACGCAGCATATTGAGACATGACTTAGACTGTGAATCTGAATATAGAGGGTTGAACTAGAAGCCCTTTCCCTCTCAATTCCAGGGTGTGGTGGTGGTGGGTCCCTCCAGCTCTAGCTGAGCTGATGGGTTACCTCTATCTCCACGAAATGTCTCAGTCACTCAGTGATACGGTCTGGATCTGTGTCCCCACCCAAATCTCATGTCTAATTGTAATCCCCAATGTTGAAGGAGGGGCCTGGTGGGAGGTGATGGGATCATGGGGGCAGAGTTTCCCCTTGCAGTTCTCATGATGCTGAGTGAGTTCTCATGACATTTGGTTGTTTAAAAGCCTGTGGCACCTCCCCCTTCTCTCTCTTCCTCCTGCTCCGGCTATGTGAAGACGTACCTGCTCCCTCTTCACCTTCTACCATGATTAAATTTTCCTGATACCTCCCTAGTCATGCCTCCTGTACAGACTGCAGAACTGTGAGTCAATTAAGCCTCTTTTCTTTATAAACCACCCAGTTTCAGGTATTCCTTTAGAGCAGTGTGAGAATAGATGAGTACACTCAGAGTTCCCGCTCGTTGCAGTGGTGCATGCAATGGTGCCCAGCAAAGTGGCCCATGGTAGGGGAGCAGTGGATGCCCTGCCCTGACATGCCATGCATTACAGTTGAGTTAGGATGAGAAGCTTTGGGCACAGAGGAGCAGGCAAATAATTGAAGGTGAAACATTTGCGAAGCGGCAGTGAAACCAACACAGGACCCCGGAGACCCAGAGGGGCAGACGGAAACTCCCGTTTCACTCGGGAGCACCTGCTGGACGCTGCCTGCAGCTTTCCCAAACTTCTCTGAGTCAAGAATCGCCCACAGTTCCATGCCAAGAGCCTTCGTTCAGTTGATCTGGAGGTTTTCTTATACCTGGTTTCCAGAGTCGGGTTCCGAGACGTTTCCACTGCTGTCTTCTCAGGACGTGTTGTATTTATTTGCCCTGCTCCAGCAGCTGTGCTGGTGGGTGTGCTTGATGCAGCCTCTCATCCTGGGCGGTACATTTCTTTTCTCATGTGTACTAGTTTAGTAATCTGAAAACGATTCCTCTCTCATAGTTTTACATCACATTTTAAAACATTCTGCTTCTGCCTCCTCCGTGTCAACGCTGCTTCAGCTCCTTCACCATTTGCTCCGTGGACACTGGGTGCCTGTCCTTAGATCTGAATTCTTAGAGGCCATGTTCTTTCCACCCATGGAGATGTTTTTAATATTTTTGTTTTTGTTGTTGAATAATAGATTGTAGTTTATGCTCCTATCATTCAGTATGCTTATTTTATAACAGAACTTCCTCTTGTTTAAAAAGAATATAAACTGCTTTCAGCACTGTTTTTTAAAATTATTTTGTGTTGTGCTCTGCCACAGTGGAATGGTGGTGGTAGCTGTGGAGGCTACTATCGCCATCATCCCTTCAATCCCCATCATCCCTTCAATCCCCATCATCCCTTCAATCTCGATCACCCCTTCAATCCCGATCATCCCTTCAATCCTCATCATCTCTTCAATCTCGATCATCCCTTCAATCCCCATCATCCCTTCAACCCCCATCATCCCTTCAATCTCGATCATTCCTTCAATCCTCATCATCCCTTCAATCCTCATCATCCCTTCAATCCTGATCATCCCTTCAGTCCCGATCATCGCTTCAGTCCCCATCATCCCTTCAATCCTCATCATCCCTTCAATCCTCATCATCCCTTCAATCTCGATCATCGCTTCAATGCTGATGTCCTATTCTTTATCCACACCTTGCCCAGCATCAGTTCTGCTCCTGGGATCTCCATTCTTGTCCTTGGCGCCAGCCCATTGTCACACTATCTTGGCGGCTTTTCATCCAAATGTCCACCTTTCTAGGCTGCTCTACCCCCTTCCTTCAGCTGAGAAAGACAGTTGGTCAGCATGGGCAGCCACCCCTGGGCGTGGTGTTCATGGCAGAACTCATTTTCTCCTGGGAGAGGGAGGACTAGACTGGCCCCTTCACTCACCTCTTTTGTTTCTAATTCTCTCCCTCTGGGCTCAACCCTGCATACTGAAATCCCACTCCCATCCTGCCCTGGTCATTCCAGAATCTATCACTCAACAAATAATGAGTCAGATCCACTCTGCACCAGGCTAGGGCCAGGCACTGGGCTTCAACACAGAACAGAGTGAGCTTCCCTGCCCCCCAGCAGTCCCCTTCCACTGTGGGGGCCAGTGGCTCCCTATGCCTTGTCCTGGGCCTGTATTGGGGATTTGGACCCAGAGCCCCCTGTGCCACTTTCCTGAGTGGAACCTCCATGCACGGACCCTCCTCCAGGTTTGGCCCCCACTTCACGCCTCAAGTGCTTCAGGGGGGCTCAGGCCAGCGTGGGCTCCACCCAACACTGGGAAAAAGCCCCATTTTCATGTTTAAATCTGGTAAAAATAGTACAGCCAAACTTCTATCATGTTTAGAAAACTGGTGGAACAAATACCCCCACGTTATACTTCTTAGAAGAATCTGGCATTTGGGGCTGGCCACACTCCCCACACTGATGGGGACTATGTGTGTGTGAAGCCTGCTCCGTCACTGCCATTGATGGGGACTGTGTGTGTGTGAACCCTGCTCTGTCGCTGCCATTGATGGGGACTGTGTGTGTGAAGCCTGCTCCATGGCTGCCATTGATGGGGACTGTGTGTGTGAAGCCTGCTCCATCGCTTCCTTTCTCCTATTTCCCTTCCAGCCCTTTTCACTCATTTTAAAATAATGGCAGGACAGTGCAACAAATATGCAGAAAGGGAGAAGAGGAAACAGAGGAAAATACTTATGGAAGTCAGAATAAATATGGAAGTGACTTTGGGGAGCGTCGCCACCTGTGTTTCTTCTTCCCTGCAGAAGTGTGACCTCTCTCTCCCCACTCAAGACCATCTGTTTCCTAATTATCAACAGGTGGGCTTACAGCTATATTCAGAAAGCAACACCTCTCCCAACTGCAATCTTCTCCCCGGAATGCTAAAACCTATTGTATTTTCCCTGGGAAGAAAAAAAAATGTCTATTTCTCACAGACTGTGCTAAACCTGCCCTGGTGAATTCAGCTGAGGTCCCCACTGCGGACCAGGAGCAGGATGCAGTGTAGACATCAGAGCACTGCAGGGTCTCTCATAGCCTTCATGGAAAGAGAAGCCCCAGAAGGACAGGCCCATGCAGCTGTTTGCCCAAAGCAGCTCTGAGCGCACTTGGGCAGGGTAACACCTAGTCATCCCTGGTCTTCATGAAGACCCTCAAGTTGAAACCTCAGACCTCTCACGCATATGCCCCCTTCTAAGCAATCAGAAAGAGTCCTGGCTATTTTATATTAATATTTCATTATGTTTTTCCTTAATGGGGACTAGATTGTATAAGCTTTAGCCCTCCCCGGAAACCTTGATTCACCTCTAGTTGCGAGATTCAAGGAATAATGGAATAAACACAAGTTGGGGTTTAGGCAAGAGCTTGAGACCTGCCCTTCATAAATTTCCTCACCCAACCATGAGTCCAGTACACAGTGCTGTCCTCCAACACACCTGAGTGGGCCATGGTGCAGTTCAATACCAGGAAAAGTTAAAGAGAAAATGACTGCTATTTAAATACATTTTTAAATTTCTGTACTACGCCATATATTAACCACATATCTCGTAAGTTACAGAGAAGTAACAGGGTCCTGGTGCCAGACAAGACCATGACATCCTGCTCTTACCATCCTTCTTCCTATGCAGGAGATGAGGGGCTGGACGTGCTCCTTGACTTAACTGATGCCTCGATATCCCTAAAAGGTATCCTTTATCCCTCATCCTGCGATTGCAGAATGAAAGCATACATCAATGAGCAGCATGGAATTACTTTCATCCCTAACACCAAGTGGCCAAAGGCAAACCAGTCTGAAAATGGATGAAGGCACCGACGGGAAGCAAGGAGCTCTGGTTGTAGCTTTACATGTTTTCACAAGCTAAGGTGCAAAACTGTTTGTATTGTATTCTCTCTCTCTCTCTCTCTCTCTCCCCCCCCGCCCCTTCTCTCTCATTTCTTCATTTTATTCTGAAGAAAATAGAGAAAGAGCCCATGAGGCAGGGCTCAAGGCCTCAATTCTGTGCTTTGTTTCAGTAACTTGCCTAGTCTGGGGAAGCCAAGCAGTGCAGACACAGGGCAGGGAAGCAGACGTGGCACACACCCCCACCGTCAGCCCCCAGAAGGAGCCACGCTCAGGAATAGGAACCCTGGAGGCAGAGCACCTAACCATAGAGAGCCCCGTGAGAAGGTGTTTCCATACACTGAGAACTCTATTACTTCTCGTGTTTCTAAATGAAGGCAGCCATACCTGCTGGGTGATAGGTGTGAACGGCAGCCATCCCTGCTGGGTGATAGGTGTGAACGGCTCACCATGCCTGCTGGGTGATAGGTGTGAATGGCTCACCATGCCTGCTGGGTGATAGGTGTGAATGGCTCACCATGCCTGCTGGGTGATAGGTGTGAATGGCAGTCATCCCTGCTGGGTGATAGGTGTGAACGGCAGCCATCCCTGCTGGGTAATAGGTGTGAACAGCTCACCATGCCTTCTGGGTGATAGGTGTGAACG